CCCTTCCCACCCCCCCCCCCCCCCCCCACATGACCAACTATTTTGACAATATTCTTTCCTTATTAGCTGATTATTAAAGCTATCCTGAACGGCAGACGTGCCAAGATTTTTTCGTGTTAATAAAGATTGGTCTTCGAGTGTAAAGATTAGAGAGATATTGACTGTGCAAGACTCGCCCTCCCGTAGAAAACTAGTTTCTATGGATGAGCGTAAAGCTTTTTAGGGTTTAATGGAGAATGACTCGAGTGTATATGCACTAGGAAAACTTAACTAAAACCCGTTCATCCAAGGTTCCTGATAGTAATGAAGTTGGACATGGATTTTTTTTAGAGTCTAAGTAGACAAAACAAAAACAAAGAATATTAAACATAAAATATATAAAGTTTTTAGTCAACTATGAATGCATAATGATTGAGGTAGAAGAGAAGGAAAAGTGGGTTTACCTGGTAAGCATTGATAAGGGAAAGATCAACAATGGAGGGATTATTTGACTGTAGACCTGCGATGGATTCGACCAATCCGAGGTTCTTGAAAGACTGTCTTACAGTGATTGAGGCCAAAGTGTCATTAGTGAACAAAAAAAGTGGCCAAGTTAGCCTAACACAGTTGAATCCCATATCCAAAATCCCTTTTGAAATCACATCCACTGGCTGCTTGCTTAGCCCTTCAGCCACCACCACGTCGAGATGCGATACCCAATTTACGCACGCCAACTTCACGCGCTGGTTGGATTCATTTACGACCCATCGGGAATCGGTCGAAAGTGGTTGCGCCATGATGACATATAGGAGGAAAGAAGATAGAACACTACATAGGAAGAAAATAAAGGAACTGCCCATGTTATTACTCTTATTCCGAAGAATTTGGGGCATTGGGTAGAGGGAAATCTTGAATCCTATTTATATGCTAAGGTCCAAAGGGACTATAGGATGAATTATGGGACAAGGGTCCTACTCATATAATGATATTGTATTTGTGGCATATTTTTATGTTTAAGCTGCTTTGTAACGTGTCTTTTGTTCCAAGGGAAGCCTGCACGTTTTTACATATGATAACTGTTAACATGGAATTTGAGAAAAGGCATGGTATAGGGCCTTGAAGATCAACCTTGACGAGTTATTTGATAAAGTATAATAGATTAATATTATACAAAATTTATTTTGTTTATCGTACGGTTTAATTTTGTTATAACTCAAAGGTTAAAGCCACAATACACACAGACTACATATACTTTCATATCATATTGGTAAAATACTTCGATCACATCCCGCATTGTCACGTCCACCCTGAAATGGGTGAGGATTTCCCAACATGTTTCATGGTTTCCGCCCCTAATCTTTTTATTTTTTTTAGTTTATGTTTGTAAATTTCAATTCTATTTTAAATGAATAAATAAATTATTATGAATATTTTAACATCTACTCCGCCTTCCAAAAATTTCTGACTGAACGAGGGACAAGGAGATAAAAAGCCCTTTTTTGTCCGCTATTAAAGTGGGAAAATGAGTTTTGAAATAGTTAATTCTTGGTGAATATGTGGTTAAAAAGTTAAAAAAAAAAAATTTGATTACCTGCAAAATATTTTATTTTAAAAATGTATGGTTGAAAATAAGTTTAAAATTATTATTTTTTAAATAATGATAGACAAACGTGGGCAAAGTTTTACGTCAACTCAACCTATGTATATTTCGTAGATAGATATTCAATCCCAAAAGTAACTAGATTTGAATAGACGTTAGAAGGAAGATTACAAGAAAAGCCTAGTTTATTCGTGTACCAATGGCAATCTATCAAGTATAAAGTCTTGCGTCCGTCGTGTGATAATTGATGTTGGAAAAACTACAAGAAATATATAGCTACATGGCCACGCGTGCCTAAGAAATAATGTCCTTCGGAAGACTTACGAGGCTGCAAACAATAATGAAGGAAAATTTGTTTAATTATGATACACGTACATTTTATTTGACATTAAGTTTGACGTTGTGTCACATATTGTAACATGAGTGGCCAGTTTTAAAATAACACACACTTTCTCGTCCATTCATTTTTGAATTTTCAAGTGATGTCAAACTCTATGTACAACATGAAGTGTACAAGAAATATTATTCAAATTTGTTTTGGCAAGCAATAATGCCGTTCTTAAATCTATAGATGGATACGTACAAGCTTTTCCTTTACGGGTTTTGTATTGATAGCACCTGATTGGAACTGATTTTTATCATTATTTTTTTCCAACTTTCAGTGAAATTTTGCCAAGTACATCTGTGAAAAAAAAAATTCTGTGAACCAAACCTATACGTATGGTTTTGTTCTATATAGATCGATTCATTTTAATGATAGTAGTTTAATCTGTCTTTATTGACCATGCAATTAATTTTCAGACGAAATCTTTAGAGTTCAATCCTACAATTTATACTTATATGTAATTGTGAGCCTGTTTGATTTGCTACATCTTTCATGAGTTTCATAACTTTTCAATCACACATTTTAAAAATTTCTACTACAATCTACTAAAAATCTAAATTTAATCCCCAACAAACACTCTCTGTATATTACATTTTTCTCCATTTGAATTTAAATCGATTGACCATAAGAATTGAATGATTGCAGAGCAGCCATCAACAAAGTGCTGCCCTCGGATAGAGGCGTCAAGACGTCCGAACCAACCCTCTTAAAGGTCCGAAATTGACGTGTCTTGTTAATCGGTTTGGATACTAATTTATGGGTGTCGATTAACTGTGATCAACTTCAATATGAACCGAGTTCAATTTTTTATCAACAAAATTTATAATAATAATAACAATATGAGGAAGTTCAAAAAGAATCCAAATCCATCATTTCCAAAGCATCGACAAAGTTAGCCTATGTGTATAATTATGTTGAGGACTTGATAAATACTTTACCCAAAATTGCAGCAGTCGATTTCTAACCAAAACAGAAATGGCAGAATGTAAAAGCAATGAAAAATAACACCATTCTAGTAGTTCCACAAAATGTTGATAAGGCCATGAATGACAAGTTTTTGGCCACTTATGGCGAGGATAAAAAGGTCGACGAAGATAGTATTATAGAAATGTTAGTTAATTGGTATCCCTCGATCTATTTATCCTCACTAAGTGGCTGAAAACTCGCCATCTATAACTTTATCAACTTTTTGTTTAATTAAAATGGCCTATATTTATTGGAATTGTGCTATTTGTACAGACCCATTTGCACAGGGTCTGTACAGATGCACACCCATGAGGGTGGATCCCACATGTGAGAGCCCTGTACAGACTCTGTGCAAAGGGATCTGTGCAGGAGCTTTATTCCTATTTATTGTTGCCAAATGGGAAATATTGAAATGTTCTATATATATATATAGGAATGACATAATGTCCAACTCATATTCTTTATTTTCCGTTACTTTATTTTTACATTTTCAAATTTAAATCATATTTAAGTTTATAAGATAAATAAAATGGGCTGAAAATGGAAATATTAAAATACGTGCTTTGCTGTGTTGTCATTTTTAAACCGCCTAGTTTTATTTTATTTTTATTATTTTGTTTACCAAGCATGCTTAAAGTAAATTTACTCTTGTACCCTCGTTTGGTCCATTGTGAGGATGGGAATTGGATTAAGCATTCTTATAGTAAATTTACACTTTGTGCCTGTCATTGGAAATCAATACCAACGGGCTAAATATTTTGGCAATCTACTAAAACATGCGCAGCGAAAAATAAAATAATTTTCAATTCTCACGAAGGATTCCTTTGTGTTTGGATAGAAATTGTACATTTCATTAATTCTATAAATTCCTTTGTAAATCTTGCTTTGATTCTGTAAACTCCTTTACTATTCTTTTGTTCCAGCAACCTTGATCTGCTACCCAAAGCTGTCCAATTGTCCAACCTCCAACGGTGATCCACACAGAGAACAAGAATGTAGGATTAGGATTTTTTTCTTGTGCTGGCAAGAATAATGAATCGCTCATAAAATTGTAAACTCTAATAACTTATTTATATAAACCCAAATGGATTTGGCCTGACCCGATCCAATAATTAATCAAATCATTTAATTAAATTTGGCCCGTGAATTAATTAATCAAATTAATTAATTCAGTTTATAAATAAGCAATCCAATTAATTAATTTATCTAACGCTGGTTAAATTAATTAATTGATAAATCACAATCTTCTAGTTCTCCTTTTGTGTGTTACCCATCAGGTTCCCGATCACGATGTCTAACGATGTAAAATATTATTGTGATCTAATCAAAATTGATAAATTAAAAAACCATTTTGATTTATCACTAATTCGCACTCGCCGTCTCAGATTGACATCTAGCAATATGTCAGGACAATACACGTGACGAATAATATCATGTGGTATAACAAAACTAAACTCGTTCGTTTACCATGAAATTATAATTCTTTCGTCAATATGAGTCAATCAATTACGAGATATGGAAGTGTGTCAATCTTGATTATCAATCATATCTTTCATTCCATTATTAAGTCAATATAAGTCAAAAATTTATTTTCGACTTATGAATACACATTGGCCAAGAATTTCGTTATCGATTTAATTGAATGAAATATAGATCATAATCTCTTACTCTCTAAGAGTGAGGAATCATCCATTGGTCATTCACAACCTTCATACGATTCTTGACATACCCAAACGATGTCATATTAACGGCCCGTGACAGAGCAACATCCAACACCGTCAAAGTATGACTATCCTCATTTAAGGTACTATGACAACCTCAAGTCAAAGGATCAATACCACTACCGAACGTTAGAGATTAACCGCTGACACTCAGATAATTATCCATGTAGAATCTCTAGGCGGATCTCCAATGTTTTGTTTTATAACAAAATATCCACGTGTTCATTCAAGTATCATCACATTTTAACTTGTGAGATCAGCTACTTACTTCACAAGTAAGAAATGCCTCACGTGATAATCTATTCGTAATAACTACATCTGTATCTCGTTATTACTTACGACTACGGATAATTTAAGATTCAATCATATGTAATTTGTATATTATAATCACAATTCCTTATGATTAACAAATTACTACGATTTCAATCTACGAACTCTATTATTTAATTTAATTGACTATTAATTAAATAATAGATCTGTCATTAAATTACATTAATTATATATTAAAAGTATTTATGTCCAAGATTGATTAGATCTAAGGCATAACACTTACATGATATAGATTCTGAATCGAATTTAGACATTTTGAATCAGATATTGTGGTAGCATTTATGCTAATGTATCACAGAAAATATTTTCTTCATTTTATATCTACCGTGTCCTTTTCATTCCATCGAAAATCGATTTATCCCATTAGATTTTCATCGCTTTGTTTCGCGGTGTTTGCTAATCAAGACTCCAGTAAGAGGGCTCCTACCACTATTTTATAATTAGCGTACAACCAATAAGAGTACCAGGGTGTTATGATGAGGTTCAAATGATTAGTTTGTTTTATCAACAGAAAAAGGCAGAAACTTAAAAGAACAAACCCAAAGATAAAATGAACTTCAATATTATTATTACGCAATAAAACTATAAACCCCTTGAGCTTCCATCAGTGGAAGAAACCATCGTATGAAATCAAAATCAACCTGTCTAAGATACAGATTCGAGCACTCAGACTATAATCACTCAAGAGCACAACAAAAAACCAGCCTTCAATTACAACTATTTTTCACTCAAGAAGAACACAATAATCCTCAATATACAAATCACACAAGAAACATATTACATTGAGAAAGTGTGAAAGATCGAAAGACTTACAGATTTCTAGAGTGAGAAAGAGGCGAGGAACTTCAAGAGTCCGAGAGAGAAAGTTGAATGGATAATTCTCTCAAACCCTAGGCAATGAACAAAGTAAAAGAAGAC